TGAGGGCAGGAGGAGAACATGTCTGCTGGAGGAGAACATGAGTGCAGGGGGAGAACACAGAAGGAGAACATGAACATGAGTGCAGAAGGAGAACATGAGGGCAGGAGGAGAACATGAGGGCAGGAGGAGAACATGTCAGCTGGAGGAGAACATGAGTGCAGGAGGAGAACATGAGGGCAGGAGGAGAACATGTCTGCTGGAGGAGAACATGAGGGCAGGGGGAGAACATGTCAGCTGGAGTTTTACTGAAGCTACACGGCTCATTGAAACTGACAACAACCGAATTCACCTGCTTACTATGAACTCTTCAGGCGACCATCCCTCCAACCTCTATAACCACTGTTTGTCTGTCCTCCTCTGATGTCACTGATATCCATGTACATCAGGGGTCTCCACCCTTTCCCCCTGAGAGCACATTGACTAAATCAAAGGGTCTGAGAGCTCCTCGTGTCTTATATCACTGGTCACATTTATTCACATCAAAACACTCAAACCAATCGAAAACAAATGAGTTCAATTACATAATCTAACAAGTCATCAAAATTCAACATCCAAAAACATGTGAAACTCATATCAGACAAAAATCATGATTCAGTCAGGCTTGAGCACTCATAATTTACTACTCAGTATGACAGATGACCTCTGGAGGTCAGGGTTCAGGTTACCTTCCTCCAAACATCCCCAGATAAGTTGAAAGATAAAATCAGTGGCTACAATCTTTTTGTTCTCCAGGGGGATCCAGTTAACCCTAACCTGTATGTGAACGGCATCATATGTGTGTCCACCTTCGTGTCTTTCTACGGCCACCTCCTCTTTTACAAAGCCACTAAGAGAGCTCTACCTGGATATGGACTGAGAGCCAAGTTCATCTGCATCATTGTGGTGTTGGTGCTGTGTGGCCTGCAGAGCGGCATTTTAGAGACCATGGGTGCTCTGGAGGTGATTCCCTGCACACCACCCTTCTCCGTCCTGGCCAGGTCCCAGTGTAAGTCACAGCACATCTGGCCTCACCCCAACCTCTCCATCTGTAGTTCAGTATCTGGCCTCTCCCAGGTGTTCTATCGACCTCACATTCTAGTTTCAGAAAGACACTTACTGGCTTTCAACTGTGTCCCATGGTCTTCATCAGCTGGACAAAGATTGCAGAGGCCCTTTATATGAACATCTGAGACCATCTTTAAACAACCAGCAGGTCATGTGATGACCCCAGCATCTTCTGATGATAAGGGTGTAGAGCAGATTAAAAAGATGATAAAAAATCTATACATGTATATAGTATATAAACATATGTGTAAAGTACCAATTAAAAGGTCGCACACCTTTATGGACACACACACACCTGCATTCACACAGCAGCTCATATTAACCTCTGTGGGAACAGGCACATAATGAAGAACATCTTCTTTTTACTCTGAGAAGTAAATGAAACTTAAAGTTTCAGGTTTATAAAGTGGAACAAGATCATCTACGGAAGACTTTTTAGAAGACAGACTTTTTAGCATTCTGACTTTAAAAAGTCAGATTTTTTTTTTTCTAATTCTGAGAAAAAAGTCAGACTTTGAAAAAAAAAAAAAAAATTCACGTAGCCTTAATCCTCTTCCGCCATCATCAAATCCTCAGGTACTAAACTGTTCTGTTTTCTAAGAGATGGTGGCATCTTTAATCACTCAGCCAAAGCTAATTCTATATGAATGAAAACAAATGATGCTGTTTGCTTTATTAATGAAATGTCTGTGTATCAGTACACTGATCTTCTCATGTGATCACAGTGATAATCACTGACCCATGTCCTGTGTTCTCTGTCCCATCTCAGTGATCTACCACTACTGTGTGATTGTGGAGATGTTCTGCATTGGCCTGTACGCCCGCCACACTTTCCGTAAGGTGGAACCAAGCATGGTGGAGGAGGTGGAGGGGCCCATCGGTGTGTGGCAGATGGACAAAGGCATTCAGACAGATGATGTTCAGACTGTGCATCAGAACCGTGGTGTGTTCTCAGAGGACGCTCGGCCTGGCCACCGCCTCGTCAGCACTTCCAATCCAAGCTACAGCGAAGACAGTCTGTGCAGGATAGAGCACGCTCCTCTTGATGGTTTCCCCTTCCCTCAGGCCCGAGGTCAGCAGCCAGGCAGACCACATCCAGTGGAGCCCAGGTCTGCAGAGGACCCAGGTGTAGAGCTGACCCACATCACTGTCAGAGCTGATATCAACTATCAGGACTGTAAGGATGTCACTGTGGTTTGACCAACAAACAAAACACTACATAAACCAGGACCAGCATCCTCACTGCTGCCAAGGGCCCAGACTGGATCTGAACTTGGGGCCACTGTGGAAAAGACTGAGCCTTGTTATGTGCTCTACCAGCTGAGCCACTGGAACCTCCCTTTAGCTCACATTTTAACACTGCAGAAAATGTTCATCAATGTAAACAACAGGAGAAATGTTGCTGCTTCTCACTTGTAAACTTCCAGATGTATTTTATATGTTAATTGTTTTGCAGCTGTTAAACACTGCAGCACTCATCTGCTGGGGCTTGGATCGTACCACATTTACACACAGAGCTTTGGACTGAAGTGTTATAATAATAATAATAATAATAGATGACAATTCTGTCTTTAACATCTACATTTGCTGCACCACACACACACATCTGTTGTGCAAATCACACGTGGTCTTCTCTCAGGACAGAGAATAGATGAATTTACATTTTATATTTGCCCTCACCAGTCAGAATGTGGCTGCTTCTCTCTTTGAACATGGACGACTTCTTCCACCCTCTAGCCACATTTTTCACATCCAGAAGCTTTTTCAAAAAGCTTCCAGGTTATTGAATCTGAAAATGTTGTCCCCGTTTTAGTGTGAATGATAATATGTTTATGTTTAAAAATATGTGCATTTCCCCGAACAGTCATGTTCACCTGCTTACGTCAGCCATCACTTGTGTCCCACCTGGTTGTCAGGTTATATTTATGATCACATGTTGTATTTGTTGAGCTAATTACAACAGAAACAGAAAGAACAACCACAATGTGAGTTTGACTCATTTACTGAAACTGGCTGATCTGAGGGACAGAGGAGGAAATGATTCTATGAAGCATAATGCGTTCACTGAATCAACAACATGATGAACTCAAAATTCTGAGAATTTTTTTCTTAAATAAAACAGAAAAAGATCCTTTTTTTGTGAATTAATGAGGTAATTATCTTGTTAATCTTTTTTTTAAGTGAATGCATTACTCTTCCATATGATTCAGCAATTTTCCTGTGTTATTTCAGTGAGGACAGAGAACTTTTAAGAAATATACTTTTGATTTTTATTTCACAACCTAAAATTTAATATCATATTCACAGGAAAAGGTCAAGTACTTTGAGACTGTATATTACTGACATGTTAATAGTGTATAATTATGTATAGAATTTTACAGTAGCCACTCATTCTAGACAAAGTCTAAAGAAGAAAAGATGTGAGAAACTATGAAATGTTTTGGACAGTAGGGTGACTGTGTAATGTTTTATTGTCCAATCAGGGCCAGACAAGGAGTACCTTAAAACGTAACTACCTAAGTATAGTACGTGGGTAACGTGGCTAGTTACAGTCTAGTCTCTATTATTGCACGTCCTTGTGACTCTACACATTAACGTATGTTGTCTGGCATTAGTACTGAGGATTTGTTGATCACGATGAAGGACGTGAACCAGGTCTTCGGCAATCTTTAACCTCTTCTGTGGTGTGGTGTGTCGGTGAAACAATGGTCGTACTGACGTCAGTATGGAGCTGCGTAACTTCTTGGTGAATAGGACCCGCTCTGCACGATATCTATCGTCTTCCGGCCGACCCCCCTGAGCCAATGAGAGGGCCGATAAGTGACACTCATCCAATCAGCAGCCGCTTCAGTGTGTTCTGCAGCACGATCCTCCCACCAGTGTAGATTCTCCTATTTTGGCGGCTGTGCAGAAACATGGCGGAAAATTTGAAAGGTAATTCAAGAGGTCTATATATGACTTTATACGACATTGTACGTGTATTTACTATTGTTATCCGGATTAGTCTCGGTACAGTCTCTTTAAAGACATCAAATATTCGCGCTCTTCTGTCGTTCAGGTCACACAGCGTTAAGACCGCGGTGGGTTGTGTATCATGGTGAAGCTAAGTTAGTTGTCGGAAGTGTCGTTAGCTCCTGGTGCAGTTTAACCGAGGCTCTTTAATGACCAAACTCTCCGCGTGTGATTCACTGACTGATTAAAGCTGAGGAGAAGAGTTCAGTCTGCCGTAGGAAGCAGAAATGAAGCAGTTAGTGAAGGTCTACTGCAGTCTGCACAGCGGCAGGCTGCGAAGGTTTAGCGGGCAAAACTATCCGACAAGCCCCTCGCGCCATACAGAGCCACGAAACGTTTAAAGACAAATGAGGGAGAGAATAGAAAGAGAAGGGAGGGGGAGCGAGCAGGAATAGCTGTGTATACTGATATACACAAGCACTGTTATTGTGATAATAATAACAGTGATACCTACAGGTGTAATCATGTTATAAGTAATAATAACAGTAAAATAACAATAAAATTAATAATGATGACGATGATTGTTGAGATCATCGTTGATTTTATTGTGTCAGATCTGGATCCGGGATCAGAATAAAGACAGAGAGACAAAGTTAATTACATGAAGTAATGAGAGAGCTCAGTGCATCATGCGAGTTCCCCAGCGGTCTAGGTCTAAAGCAGCATCACTAAGGGATGGTTCAGGACTCACTTGAGCCAGCCCTATTATAAGCCATACTATGGACGAAAGTTTGAAGCTTGATCTTAAATGTAGGGAGGAAGTCTGCCTCCTGGACCCAGACTGGGAGCTGGTTCCACAGGAGAGGACCCTGATAGCTGACGGCTCTGCCTCCCATTCTAGTCTTAGAAACTCTACACACAAGGAGCCCTGCATTTTGAGAGCAGCGTGTTCTCTTAGGATAATAGGGAACTATGAGCTCTGTAAGATAAGAAGGTGTCTGACCATTGACAGTTTTGTAGGTGAGGAGGAGGATTTTACAGGGAGCTGATGAAGCCAACACAGAGAGATTTGATCTCTTCCTGGTTCCTGTCAGTACTCTGCTGCAGCATTTTGAATCAGCTGGAGGCTTTTCACTGAGTTATTGGGACATTCACTCCAGTCTAGAAGCAAAAAATGCATGGACTAATTTTTCATTTTTCAGCATCCTTTTGAGACAGGATGTTTCTCACAATGTTGTGCAGGTGGAAGGAGACTTGTATTACGTGTGAAGTAAAAGACATGCCCTGGTCAAAAATGACCCCATGGTTTCTGACTATCACTGGAGGCCATGGCAATGCCGTCCAGAGTAAGTGTGTCTCTGAGGTCTTTAGGGCTGAGTACAATAACTTCAGTAACGCTTGCAGTTTGACCACCTGATTAGTCTCACCTGGCTTCATAGATAAGTACAACTGGGTGTCATCTGTGTAACAATGAAAATTTATGTGGTGCTTCCTGATAATTTTGCCTAAAGGAAGATGTAGTGCATTAAGAAAGTCTTCAGACCCCTTCACTTTGTTCACATGTTGTTCTGTTGTGGCCTGATGTTAAAACTGTTTAAATCAGACCTAGTATAGAAGTGTTAGTTAAAGGTAAAACATAGAACAGGGTCTAGAAGACAAGTTGATGGTTTAGATGACGAAACTACTGAAGTTAAGAGCTACAGTACAGAAGCAGTCTAAATATAAACTAGTTACAGTTGACTCTAAGTCTGTCACATTTGTGTCAGCTGTGGGAAGGAGTTGATGTCATTACTAGTATTAATAACTAAATAACAGCAATACTGACTCTCAGTAGTCTTCACTTATGTTTCTATGAGGGGTATTTATGTGACAGATCTACTCATAATACTGGTTCTAGCCTTGGTTTCCTCAGGAGAGGACATTTTCATCAGGAGGTGCTACATATTAAACACTCATTTTTAATTTGGAGTTAAGAGAGCAAGTAGTTTTCTTTTGGTTTACACAAATGTACTGTGCACCACTTAACCGAGTAAGCTTTGTGCTGGTAACGTACTTTCGACTGTCTCAATGCTGCTGTGTGTGTGGTAGGAAGTGAAATTATCAGATTGAAAATAGTTTTTTTATTGAGATAAAACGCTGAAATCAGCCATGCATCCAGACAATGTAGATTGAATGTCTTTAAAGTGGAGCTTGCTGTAGCCTCATTGCATTTGATGTTAACTCAGTTAAAGCGAGTTGCTGTGTCAGATTGCAGTGTGCCCTGTAAGATGTCCTGGGAGGAGCTGGAGGCCCTGTGTCGCAGAGAGAGGCTTCACTGTAAAGAGCTCGGAGTGAACAGAGCCAACGCCAATGAGTATGAGGTGGAGTTCCTCTGTGACTACAAGAAGAGTAAGGTAAAGTGTCACTGAAAAACACATGACTGTTTACAGCTCTACTCATCTGTGGTGGAAGTATTAGGAAGTACACAGTACATAGCCAATACACTGTAGACGTACCTGAGGTTCTATTATTCTGGTGAGGACCGAAAAACATGGAGTCAGTTGAAGGTAATGATATGAATGTAGCAGCTGGTTAGTTATTCTAGCTAAAACCACAGTATGATTCAGAAATGAGACTGAGGCTGGAAACTGGTTCTTCTAGTTCTTGTTAATGCCTCTTTGCTGTCTTATCCTGCTCTGTCGTGTGCAAAATATCAGTTCTGTGGCCTCATTAATGAAACTGTAGACAAGGATCTATACGGTAAGTCAATGTGCCTTCGCCAAGAATTTGATTTTAAAGGTACTACTACTTTTATCGATACCACTTATCGATCCAGTGTTTTAACAGTTCTCTTATCGGTAATCGGTTTTGTAATTTGAGAAGAAAAAGAAATTAAGAACATAATTAATAGTAATATAGAATGCATGAAATTTTCCCTTTATCAATCACTATCAACTTGAAAATATGCAACGTACATGCTCAGGCCTTCTATTGTAAATGGTCTGAGCTGCTGCAAACTGCAGTGTCTGGACTGGTGAGGACACAGGCACACATGATCTACTTTTCAGATGAATCATACAGATCATGTCATTAAAATGTGATGTATTTAGATATTTAATCTTAAAAGTTCAGTTGCTGCTGTCCAAGACGGTGGAGTTGGAATCCGGTAATGGGACAAGAAGCGGGGGGCAACATGAGGCGGGATGAGACTGGGCTAGCTGGTCAGCAGCAACTGAACTTTCAAATTAATGTACTTCCGTATAGCACCTTATAGATAAGTAAGAGCGCAGTCCAAACATACTCGATATGAACGAAGTGTGATTCTCACACTAGATATCTGGGCAGGAGGTGATGACGTGATGGAGGAGCTGGCTGGAGGAGGTGCAGCTCCAATGCGCTCTCTGCACTTTCTGCTCCAAAAACTCATCAAAAACTAATTCAAATTGCCCTCAGTGGAAAATGGACATGATTTAAAGATGTTGTAAAAAAAGATATGTTTATCATCGCACTGTTCTTCAGTTCTATTTGATACAGTCTTTGATTTCTATATGTGATGATACTCAGTTCACGAGTTAATGTGGTTGATAGGGCAGACCTGTGGACTCTAAGCAACAGTAATAAATCACAGGTGTAAACAGTTCAGATTTCGGTTGACCTGTGTCTTTTAAAATGGAGAGGTGTGTATAGAATAATTGGTGGCATACACACCACATACATGCACATACATACATACACACAAGTGTTTACGACAAAGTGAGTATACAGTCTGATTAATGTTTGACCGACCTGGGTCACAGTTGTCTACAGGTGCACACATTCTCCAACACATTTGTTTTTATAAACAAATAAACTTCCAACTTATTAGTGGGAAGTGGCTTAAGCATCTTTCAAGCCCTGTTTATAAGTACACAACAGTTCTACACGAGTCTTATCAGTTGTCCCTTAGAGACCTTTTGTCTAAAGTCAAAGTATCTGAAGGGTAAAAGTTTGCATTGATATGCTATTGTACAGCTGTTCTATTAAATCATTATATTGAACAAGTGTTTTTCTTTTGCCTGTGTAAGATGTTAAATATTGGTACATTTCTTTGACATGTAATATCCCAGGAATACTTAGGAGACTTATTAATAAGGGATGCATTAAGATTACATGTTAACTTCCAAGCCATTTCAATCCAAAACTATCTGTTAGTTAAGAGCCAGTTTGAATACAACACAACAAATAATATTTGAACAGGAAAGTGAAACTGAAACACTTACTACACAGACTCTCTGTTTTCATTGTGACGCACACAAATCAAAATGGCTGCACAGAGATAAGCACAGTCAGAATGTATTGAAAACCCACTATATGCTTTTTATCAAACCCAATACTGTGTTTTTTTTATAACATTTGGTACATTTTCACATTGTTCCAAATAATAGTGTTAACATCCTCTGAGACAATACACTATTTTCCATACTGTATATACTGTGGTGTTAATCACTGTAATATTTCTGCTTGTATTAGACCATTGTGTATTTAATTTTCCATAAAATGTTCAGTGTCATGATATAGGATTTTATCGACATTGCTTTCCCCAGGCCTAAGACAATTATAAACCACCTGCTGCTACAGTCTAAAGTCTCCTGTAGTCTTGTTACTCTGCAGGTTGACAGAGCTGTAACTGGTCTTCATGAGTGGAGACTTTTTGCTGCTGAGGTTTAAGACTATGAGACTAACAGGCAAAGAAAGACCAGCTGCTGAAAAGAGCGGACTGAGAATTTATTATATAATGAGAAAAAGTGAATTAGTCCAGTACAGACATAAATCAAACCTTAAACCTTAAAGTCTGGTCAGTGTTGACATAGTAAATGATGTCTCCTCCTAATTCAAATTGTGTGTTTCAGGAGGAGGAGTTCTACTTGGTGAAGTGGAGGGGGTTCCCTGAGTCGGACAACACCTGGGAACCCAAGAGGAACCTCAGATGCCCCAAACTGATGAAGCAGTTCCACCTGGACCTTGATCAGGAGCTGAGGCGCCACAAGAGACGCTGCATCCCTAAAAAGCTAGATAAGGAGGTGACCTCAGTCCTCATCCAGAAAGCCAAACTCCGTCAGAGTCTGCAGCGCTGGGAGGCCCATTTGAACCACACTCGCAACCACCCAGGTCGCATTTTTGTCATGAATGAAGTGGACCTCGAGGGCCCCCCAAAAAACTTCACCTACATCAACAACTACAAAGTAGGCCAGGGCATAGTGTTGGATGAGATGGCTGTGGGCTGTGAGTGTAAGAACTGTTTAGATGAGCCGGTGAATGGGTGCTGCCCCGGGGCCTCCTTGCACCGTATGGCCTATAACAATAGGGGGCAGGTTCGGATCCGGGCGGGACAGCCCATTTACGAGTGCAACTCTCGATGCAACTGTGGTCTTGATTGTCCCAACAGAGTGGTGCAGAAGGGCATCCAGTTTGACCTGTGCATCTTTAAGACGGAGAATGGCAGGGGATGGGGTGTCCGCACCCTGCAGCATATCAAGAAGAACACATTCGTCATGGAGTACGTAGGAGAGGTAAGACCTGGTCCAAGACTTTCATCATCAGGAAAGTCTGTGCAAAGCGTCTTTCTAATCATCAAAGACACTTTCTCCTTTCATAACATGTCATTGCTGAAATGGTCAAAAGTAACATTTGTGTCATTGAAACTTTAGTGAAAGGTGTCATTGTCATGTGATGTTTGTATGTCAGTATGACATCATTAAATCTTTTCCCTGTCTTTTTTTGCTGAGAACCAAACGCCTCACGTGAGAAACAGGCTTATTGCTGAAACTAGATGACACAGCGCTGCAGCAAGGCTTGAGATGATTCATTTTGGCTAGCATTGAAAATTAGCCTGTGTTTTACAATTCATTTAGAAAGTCTTCAGACCCCTTCTCCCTCATCAATCTACACTCAATCTCTCATAATGACAAAGAGAAAACAGAATTTTAGAACATTTTGCAAATGTTTTAAAAAAGACTGTCCACATGACTACATTTTCATTTTAAAATGTAGCTTTCGAATTAAAACCATCTCCTTCCAGACTATCCCACCTGAAAACACATATACCTGAGCAATCACCTGTACTGATTCATGTGCAGGTGATTGTAAGTGAACAACAGCTGCTAGCAAAGACAACAAGGTCAGTAACACTGTAATTCATTATCATGTTGTATTCACTGCTGGTGTCCAGGCTGATGAGAGCTAATCAGGAGAGACCATGGGGGTCTATGTCATCATTTCCAAAGGTCAGAATTTTCAAAATAAAACACAACCCCAGATTTTTCAAAGTAAAACACAACCCCTGAGTTTTCAAAATAAAATGGGGCTGACAGTTTCCAAAAGTCTGTTTTCATGGCTCGAAAACTGGAGTCATGTGGATGGAGGAGGAAAGGTAGAAACAGATGCGTTTTAAAATGAAAATGTAGTAGACTGGACTTAGTAGTAGTAGTGGACTGGACTTAGATTCAATAGTGAGTTCTATTTTTTTTCCACTCAGTATGAATTTAGGGCTGTTTCTGCTGCCACCTCTACTTGTTCTTTTATCTGCTGTGCTCAACAGGTTTTGAAAATGTATACAATTGTTTGTGGCTGAGGCCTTAACCTCAGCAGCCTGATTTTGAATCCAGCCTGATCCCTTTGCTGCCTGCCCCTCTCGCTTCCCCATCTTCTCTCTACTTTATTTAATGAAGCAAAAATGCCAAAAAGAATCTTAAAAACAGAAAATTGTTTGTGGCTGAGCTTGTGTGTACTGATATTGAAACTATTAGGAAAAATCATACATGTCTCTTTGAGTTTTTTAAGTAATGGTCATGTTTGTGTTTTATTGAAAATGACATATTGCATCGCAGCACTGGTTCTGTCCATCCTGTCTGGTTTCCTCCAGATCATCACAACAGATGAAGCAGAGAGGAGGGGTCACGTATACGACCGCCAAGGCTCTACATACCTGTTTGACCTGGACTACGTGGAGGACGTGTATACAGTGGATGCTGCTCATCTCGGCAACATCTCCCACTTTGTCAACCACAGCGTGAGTGTCTTCAAACTGTATAGAACATACTGCAGGCAGCTCGGGTCAAAGGTTGGGCCTACACTCTGTGTATGCAGGTCATTCAGAATGTCTGCAGACCATGACTTTATTCACATGTTGTTGTGTAGAAATAATTTAAATCAGTCTACACTCTGTACTTCATAATGACAAAGGGAACTGAATTTCTGTAAATGTATTAAAAAGTAAAAACTGAAATATCACATTGACAGAAGTATTCAGACACTTTGTCTCAAGTTCCTCCATTTCTCTTGAAGTGTTCTAGTTTGTTCATATGAATTGGTTTTAGTATGATGAGCTCTATATGAAGCCCTGATCTTCTGGGCCGACCCAGTTCTCTGCTGACTTGCATGTGTTTCTATACGTACTACAGTCAGGCGTATGTGTAAACAGACACATTCCACACACGCACACATACACACACATACACACACACACACACTAGAATACATGAAAAAACTTGTTCTGGGTAGCTTCTCGTGTGGCTAATCGGTCGGTCACTCACTGCTGGATTACAATACACTGTAGTTTTTGGGAATATTGACCAGCGCCATTGATAGCACAAGACTCTTGTGGGCACTGATATTTCTGCAGTTTAGCATTTTTGGAGTTTGTCTCAGCTAATGGACACAATCTCCTCGATGGCCTGCAAATTGCATACTCCAGAGACTTATTGCTGCAGCTCAGACTTCATCCCCCAAACCATTACCACAGACATGTTTCCAGAGGAAATACTACACAAGAACTCCTCCAACCAAGAGGATTCTTCTCACAGCACAAAGAAGGTAACTAGAAGGGGAAAGAGAAAGGGTGGGATTAAAGCCACACTTAAACAAGAGTAAACAACGACTGCTCCCCTCAGTCATCTTGGCTAATGTGCGCTCCCTCCGCAATAAAACAGACAAACTACAAGCCAACATTAATCACATGTATGTGGTTAATGACTGCCTCCTTTCTTGCATCCACTGAAATGTGGTTAAATAAGAACAATGACAATGATACTGCACAGATGGCTAAGTGCCCCCTAAGACTTGACCAAGATAATGAGTTCACAGGAAAACAACATGGTGGTGGTGTGTGTCTCTATGTAAACACACGCTGGTGCTCAACGGTTATAGAGGATCTGTGCACCACTGGCATCGAACTCTTCACCCCTTCTATCTCCCTGGGAATTCCCTCAGTTTCATTCTGGTTTACATCCACCTCAGAGCTAATGCAGCCACAGCACATATCAAGAGAACATTAGACAAATTCAATCAAGGTGATTTTAATCACTGCTCAGCTGACAAATCGTTAAAAGGATTTTACCATATGCCTGAGAAAGCACCCAGCTGGAGGTAAACCTTCTCCTTACTCAAAGCCCGAGATTCTGCCCTCAGCCGGCCTGTCACTGGGAGGTGGGGCTACACTACACAGCACACAGTGCTTCTGTGCCACAGACACCAGAGTGTTAACCACAGGTGAACTGTTTCGAGGTGATCGGTGATTTACTGATTATGTATTTTTAATGAAAATCGGCCGATTATGATTGGCGGCCGATCAATTGGGGCATCACTACTCAAGATGACCAAAGAAAGCACAGCACTTGGTCCAGACAACATCAGAGGCCGTGTCATGTGGTACTGTGCTCAGCAGCTAGGGGGCGTGTTTCAACTCCTGCTTCACAGCTCCTTGGCAAGCAGCACAGTCGCCCAGCTGTGGAAAAACATTTATCCCCATAAAATGCTGATAATTGAATCTGATAATCGACCAGGCCAATGAAAAGTGAGACATTGGACACTCAGTTTTCAGAAGGACTTCAGATTGTCCGTTTGTGCCGTTTGTGCACATGTGAACAGTTCAAATAATAAAGAATAATATAATAAATATATATATATCTAAATACATACAAAATACAAATATGTGTCCGTCCGTTGTCCACAATCAAAACAGTGACGGCGCTGCAGGATGCATAACTCACAACCTCAATTATGTAATACTAGTGGGAAGTCTACCTCAGCTGGTCCACAACATATGGATGTAGTGGTTCTGCAGGTCCTGGTCTGTGTTGCTGTCTCTCAGTCCCTGGTGTGCTCTTGTTGTGCTTACTGTTCTCCCACTTGTAGTACAGACCGTCTGTGCAGTCTCAGATGCTGGGCTGCCTGTGGATTGATGCTGAATCTTGGTCAGATGATGAAATTTGTATCTCGCTCACCCTCAGACTCTTAATGTCTCCTTAAGTAGATGATCCTGCTGGGTTTCCGGATGACTTGCCAGCATTCTTTCTTAAACACCACCCTGTGTTTTGGTGTGTGTGTTTGTGTGTGTGTGTGTGTGTGTGTGTGTGTGTGTGTTGTGTGTGTTGAGTGCTGGTGGTGGGCTGTGGGGGGGGGTGAGAGAAAGAAGCTTCTGACTCATATTGTGTTGTTTTTGCAGTGTAACCCCAACCTTCAGGTCTTCAACGTGTTTATTGACAACATCGATGAGAGGCTCCCGAGAATCGCTTTGTTTTCAACACGGGCCATTCGTGCAGGAGAGGAGCTCACCTTCGACTACAAAATGCAAAGTAAGTCTCATTAAGTAAGGGACAGTGAGAGGAATGAACTGATCATCATCCAGCTCTTCTTTCTGTGGTTAGTCAACAAACAGGTCTCACCAACAACAACAGACCTGATCCTAAAGGTTTTAATGAACTGTTATCTGTTCTTGTCTTACTGAACTCAGTCAACTTTCTAGTGCTTATCTGCTGCCTACAGTGCAGCATGTCTCTGCATGTGTGAAAAGTGTCTGTGAATGTCAGGATTCTACACTGGATAGAAAAGTGTGGAATTTGATTTTCCAGGTCTGGATAAGTCTGGAAAAAGAAAAGAGAAGTAGAGAGAGTATGGAAAAATATTAATGTTTCGAGACTGATTCTCCTGTTCTATCCTGCTGAGCAAGCCTGATGGAGAAAACGAGCAAAGTCGAGGACTTGAGTTCTCTCTTCTATGAATTGCACATAAACTTACTGGCTCCCTCAGTGCTCAGGCCCTGAGAATAAACACCTGTGCCATTAAAATAATACCAGCAGATGCAGGCATGTTGCCCCAAGCCTACATCTTGCTCCCCTAGTAATCAGAACAAAAGCAAAAGGGTTCCAGCAAGTGGAATCATTTTTTGATCATTCGTTTAGCAAATATGTCATTCTCCTACAATAGTTGAAGCTCATCATGTGTTTGAAATGTATTTTACAGACTGGGGTCACCTGAATAGGAGCCAGTAAAAGGGTATAGTGAGTGTGACCTCATCACTTGTGCTTGGCAGTTTTCCCGGGATTGTTCCCTTTTTTGACAGACTGTCCTGGAAAATTAATATTCTTTCCTGGGACACGAATTGTAAAACCTTGTTTCCTTCTAAAAAATTTTTGTTTTCTTCCCGGATATGTCCAGTCCTGTATCCGTAAACATATCAAAACGTGTACAACAGTGCCCAAAATTACCTTATTACCTAGCAATTGCCATCCGTCCACATCCACGACCGTGTGAATGGGGCAAGCCGATAGCCGAGTGGTTAGGGCACATAGCAAGAGGGCGCAGATGTCCTGAGCTGGCCAGACTCTTGGCTTTATGTCATTCCCCTGCTCTCTGTCCCAGCATTTTCTGGCAGTCTCTACTGTCCTACTGTCCCTGATCCGGCTTCTGGTTGTTTCCAGTTGATCCTGTCGACACAGAAAGCACCAAAATGGACTCCAGTTTCAGTCTAGCGGGGCTCCCCAGCTCTCCCAAGAAGAGGATTCGAGTGGAGTGTCGGTGTGGATCAGACTCTTGTAGAAAGTACCTGTTCTGATGACAAACTGTCATTCTGTAAAGATGTGGAAAATTGTACAGACTTTTAAATGAATTATTATTTTCCTTTTGTTTATGAAAGCTGAAATCCACCATCAACATTTGACCATGACAGACAAAACAAAAAAAAACACAGTCCAGTTTCATATCTGTGAAGTAACAGAATGTAGAGCTTCTGGTTTCCACTAAACTAAAGACTGCATCAGTGGGTTGTTTCTGTAATTATTTTAAATATATCTCTCCGTCCATGATAAAAACAGATGAGTCCGTATATCAGCTCAGCTCAAGTGCAGAACAAGAATGACTGTCCTGTTATTATGTGACTAAAACATGTTCTGGGATTCAGTACATGACAGGTGTGTGCCCCGGCCTTCTCATGACTGCTCAATTATAACTGCTTTGTTAAAACAGTCCATAATTTCTACCAGTGTCAGCACTGTACTCACCAAGACCACCTGAGATCTGAGAACATCCTGAGATCCTGAACACCTGAGCCATATCACTAAAAGAAGAACTATGATCAACAGTAGATAAACCTGTGGAAGTGAAGATGACACAAACCTCCATCACAATTTACAGAGCCACCTCCTGATTGACCTTTGACCTAGTGTACCTGCTGTAGTGTAATGAGTGTGAGGTTGACCTGGTGTGTCTGATTGTTTAGTGTTGTCTGGTAGAAGTGATGGACAGAGGTCAGATAGTCTCAGTCTGTTGTATTTTGTTACTTCCATTTTAATTAAATTGTCACAGACAAAAGTCGCCATGTTCTAATGGAACCAACCAGCTGAGGCAGTGTTTGGTTTGGTTCCTGATCTTATCCTGTCATCACCTCACACACCTGGCCCAATTCATTTTTTTACTCTTATATAATTTGTGTTTTGGTTCTTCTGCCTTGAGTTTTGTCGCTTGTGTTTCATCATGCTCCTGATGTGCAGCTGATGAACAGTTCAGGTCTCGGTAAGAGCCGGTTCACACAGTGTGTTGCCCTGTTGTGAATGTTCACTTGAAGGCATGGTGAAACACCTGCTGCCATGTTCTTCTCCTCCTCCACCCCACTGCCTCTATGACCCTCCACCAGTCTGCCCATCTGACAACCACCAGCATCTTTACCAGTAACCAGCCCGCAGCTCCCAGTCAGCATGTAGCATGGAGCTACTGTCAGCTGAGTTAACATATGTAACATATAATATATTTTTACACCTGGACTCAGCTTTAACTCAGCTTTACCTTCTGTCACTTCAATGACTGTCTGTTTTGTGGTCAAATAGCTGATGATTTTACAGTGTATATATTTCAACATTTTAACTCAGTATTTTTTCAGTGTGTTTTAGGTGGAGAACAAAAACAATGTAAATAAATGATTATACAGTGGACTGATGTTTTCATGTCTTTTTTTTTTTTTAAACAAAGTGACACAGGAAACAGAAAATGAGATGTGTGTGTGTGTGTGTGTGTTCTGGTAATCATCACATTATGGGGACAACAATCTGTTTACACAGTCACGTCATGGGGACCTCTTGCAGAGTGGGGACAAAAAAATCAGGTCCCCATGAGGAAAACCCTTTTAAATGAATACAGGAGCTATTCTGAAGGTGCCTGTGTGGTTTTTAGAATAGGCCCACAACACATGTTTTTCAGTCAGTGTGTGTGTGGAGCTGACAATGCACTCACTGCTCCACACACACACTTCTTCCAAATATGGTTGGGTTGGGTTGCCCACTTCCTGGTCCTCATTAAGAAGGATTTTAGCAGCAAATACATTTTCAGTGTTACAGGTGGCAATCAATACGGTGGACGAGTAAGAAGATTATTTGCAGCAGATGCCATCTAAAGAGCTAAGAATTTTTGCAATGGAGCAAACGTGAAATACAAGGTAAGCACATTTGTATGACAAACCAATATAACTATTGATCAACCCTAAAATTAAGTTAATTTGCTTTAATTATTTAGCAGGTTAGCTAGTTGGCTCCGATTGACTAAAGAGGCTGAGTGAAGGCTTCAAACATTTTACTTTATCTGATTCTGAATGTGATTCTGAAATGTTTTCCTACATTTTTTCAACTAGTTGCATGCATTTTAGCGTAAATGACTATGCAAACCAAACACATACAACTAAATCTTTAGATTAGCTAATTGTTTGCTCTCAGACGGTAGGTTTATGTGGTCAAAATGATTCTTTTTATAATATTCCACCTTTTATAAATGTAAATGTGATTTTTATTTTGCCATGATAAATTCAGGATCAATATTTCAAGTGTTACATTTAAGTGAATTGATTGCGTACATGTACAAAACACTGATTTTGACCAAAGTGCCTCACAGAGACATTTAAAATACAATTCTACAGATTCTGCATGTGAAAGATTAGAGACTGAATGAAAAAAGTGAGTTACTACCCTGGTGTTTACGTACATATTGTTTTCCTTTTGAGTCACATGCAATTCCTTTGCTTTTGAAATATCTGAGCATGAGAGTTTATAGAAGTATTATACAATAAATAATTTTAAAGACCTCAAACTGAGTCGAATGCAAACCCTTTTTTTTTACATTTCCATGCAGTCTAAAATGCCACCATGGATAATTCTACAGTCTCTCTTTGTCACGTTTTTGTGATTTGAAGCAGCTAAAACAGTGAAGAACATGTATTGTGATGGTAATCTAGTATGAATTGGTACACATTACAGTTCAAGGGCTAATGCATGTAGAAGGTTAGTGCTAGTGAGATGTTTTGGGCACATTTTAACCTGCTCATGGACTTTTTTTCTTGGTTAATTATCAGCCTATTCTGGACACTCATGACGTCCCCACACGACACGTTCAGTGTTTGAGTAGAAACTGTGTGAAAAGTTGGACACAACTCTAACCCGCAAGGAACTTGAACACTGTGTGTGAAAGGTCCCCACGAAGCCTGTTTGATTTAAAATGTGTGAGTGCAGACAGAGCTTGGCTGTGCAGGAGGAACTATTTTACTATGAATTTGGATTTTGTTCTTTAATTCTGGTGTATGATGGGATGCATCTCATTTTAGAGATTTTGTCCGAACAAGTGGTCAGTCTATTAGTATTAACATCAAAGTGACAATTTGTACCTTATGTTCTCATATTCTGAAATATTTTAATTGTACAATATGTGTTTACAGATGACCAGCATCTGATGTCCATTCAACTATTTTTGTTCATGAGCAAATATTATAATGATGTAAAATTCAGTCCACACTTTTTATTCACAGAGTGAATGTCAAAGTGAAATTGAGAGTATTGTCCCAAGACTAAGACAGACTAAAAGCATCACAGTAAGTCTTCATTTACTAAACAACATAAATGAAATGTACATTTTGTAGTCTACTGACCTGGGATTATGTCAAGGGGTGCAATCAACAATTATTTTCATTTTCAATAATTAATTTGTTTATATTCTACAATGATAAATCATTTGGTGTATAACATAACCATCACTTTAAATCACACCATTTTATTTTGAAGATGATGTCATCAGTTGAGTTCTTTTTTTTTCAGATCAAATGTCCAAAACCCCAAAATATTTAGTTTATTATTACATTATTTCTTACTATTTCTTAATGTTTCTATTTTTCATTTTATAGATGAAATATTTTGAAGATTCTGGTGATCTATATGATTTGGCATCAGAGAGTGGAGATCAATATATTCCAAACTCCACCTCTGAAAGTGACAGTGGTGTCAGCCTTGACACAAGGGCAAAACGTCAGCCTCTTTATGATACACTGGATGTCTTGGGCTCAAAGAGTTCCCCTGTCTGTGATTCCACAACGCCAGACAACATGACAGCTCTACATCTGAGGCCATTGGAGAAGAAGAAGGACTGTCTTCAAGTCAGAACATTAATGACAGCATAGTTGTTAGTGCATGTCAGAAAAGAGGTGGGACTAGAGTTTACGACAAGCGACACTATTGCTTATACTGCTCTAAACCATGTGCTAAAATTGCAAGGCATCTAGAATGTGCACATCAAGACAAATCTGATGTGGCTAAAGCTCTGAGCTTTTCAAAAGGTTCCAAAGAGAGAAAAAAAACACCTAGATTATATGGGAGAGCTGGGGAGGAAACTGCTCACAACGCTGCTGTTATGGAGTCAGGAAAGGGTGAACTAGTGCCATTTAAACGGCCACCAAAAGAAGCCCAAAGCAATGATGTCATGCACTGTGCATATTGTCAAGGACTGTTTACACAAAAGGTCCTGTGGCGACATATGCGCACTTGTAGCCTTAAACCTGGATCAGTTGCCCCCAAACCAGGGAAGAATCGTGTTCAGTCCATGTGCACATACACAGCGCCTGTGCCTTCAAACATAAGTAAACAAATGTGGGGAGTAATCAGCGTCATGAATCCAGACCCAGTCACAGACATAATAAGAAATGACCAAGCTATCATTGATGTAGGGCAGCACTTATTGAACAAAGGTGGGATGTCAGATAAGAATAAACAGTGTGTCCGAGAGAAAATGTGAGAAATGGGAAGGCTGATTCACAATGCCAGGAGAGTCACCACTTTAAAAAAAAAGGAAGATCTCATAAATCCAATTAAGTACTTGGAGACTGTCAAAGCTGTCAAGGTTACATGTGGGTATGACAGTGAAACAAACAAGTTCTTGATTCCATCACTAGCAAACAAGCTTGGTAATGCCCTTGTTAAAGTAAGTAGACTCTTAAAAGCTCAGGGTTTAATCTCAAACAACCAAGAAATGGTCAAGAATGCCAGTGAGTTTTAAGATGTCCATCAGGAAAAGTGGAACGAGATGATCTCGGCTACAGCACTGAGGAACATCAGGGAAGCAAAGTGGAATGTGCCCAGTCTCGTGCCCTTTACTGAAGATGTCCAAAAAATGCATGCATATCTCAATCAAGTGCAAGATGAGTACTACAATTCACTCTCTGAAAGTCCCTCCAGAAAATCCTGGATGGAGCTTGCAAAGGTTTATCTGATGCAGACCATTCTCTTTAACTGGCGTAGGGAAGGAGAAGTGGCAAGCATGCCCTTGTCTGCATTTTCTGCAAGAGATACCTCTGATCCCCATGAGGATGTGGACTGGGCACTCTGAACCAGAAAAAAAGCTCTGCCAGACACTTCACAAGAATTATTATCAGGGGAAAACGTGGTCGCCCAGTTCCAATTCTTCTG